AGAAATTCTTTTTACATCAAACATATTACTAGTATAATTAGGTCGGGAGTTGTATTATTGGACCTCGATTAAACATAGCCTGATCACCTATGTTTAATTAAGGAAATATTTATACAAAGCCTGAGCTAATTATAATGGGAATATGCTCAACAAAAATATTTGAGAAAACTTTATTTCAAAAATTCAAAAGGTTAATTTTTGTGTGTGTAAGCATTGCATATTATAGGCATGCATGTCATTTATTTCATATCTCATTAAAACTATGTCACAGTCCACTATGTCAATATCGTCATCTTCTCGCGCTACCGCCTCAGCCGATGAGTCCGGCTACGTCGCTGTTATCCCTAGACGTAATCCCCCCCGCCTCGGTAGAAGAAGACCCATCAGAGGATACAGAAGATACTGGAAACTCGGTGGAGATTAGCAATGACAACGCCCCGAGTCAACGACGCGAGGCATCACCTACATCGGTGTTGCCACAACCACCGCTTTATGGACTTCGCATTCGGAGGACGACGAGGAAGAGTGTTCCCATTCCAGGAAGGATACCCGCCAGCACAGCAAGACATGGCACGGCAGGACCTAGCGAGGTAGGACCCAGCGTTGCATGACTGAGAGCACCGCCACCACAGCGAGTCATAGGGATACCTGTCAGGCAGCCAGGTATGACCCCGGAGGAGTCCCGGATGATGCATTCGATGGCAGCGGATCTACATCACAGCCTCGCTGTAATAGCCGGGCAACAGGAGGTGTTGAACGAAGTGATGACAGGGATGGAAATCCTGTTTCAGCATTCGATGGAGGCTACTGACACTGCTAGTGCTGCTAGACGAGAGGCAAGTCATGCGATGGCAAGATATTATATGTTTGGTGGGCTATTACTGATTGTGGTGTTGATGCTTCTTGTTGGGATAACGATTGGCTTCTGGTTCTGATTTCAGTATTTTATTTTATATTGTCATGAAATGAAAACCCATATTGGGTGTCTTTTGGGAAAAACATTTAAAACTTTATTTTGGGATTGATGTACTGGTTTGGTTTTAAAGTTATTTCGAATGGTAATGAAGAATTTTATTTTATGTTTGAAAACTTTTACTATGAGGTCAAACCCTAGAAATTATTTGATAAATTGTTGAATAAAAAGATTTTCTTTTCTTTTTCTTCAAAAATCTATATGCCTAGTATTAATGCAAACCAACGATTTGACAATACTTACGGTTTTCAAAATAGTAGTGAGCTACATATTATACATTATTTTATGTATTTATACGTATTTCTTCTCCTGTGACATAGAACCATGGCAGGAAGGCCTAATCGCGGGCGCCCACAAAACGAAACACCTGATATTGCTCAAGTTGTAGCACAACAGCTCTTGGAAGCAATTCCAAACATTGTTACTCAAGTGACTGCAGGACTTAATGCTAACCAAGGAAGTAGTGGAGGAAACCGGGGAAACAATGAAAGAGAATGCAACTACAAGTCCTTTATGGCCTGTAAACCTAAGGACTTCCATGGAAAGGAAGGTGCGGTCGGGTTGCTGAAATGGATTGACAGCATGGAGTCGGTCCTTCACATTAGCAAATGCCTCGAGCGCAATAAGGTTGAGTATGCAACTTGCCTACTCCAAGATAGGGCATTGACCTGGTGGAATACCCTAGTGCAAACCCGAGGCTGTATAATGGCATACCAGCTAACCTGGGAGGACCTAAAGAAGCTGCTAATAGAGGAGTATTGTCCCAAGGATGAACTTCAGAAGCTTGAATCTGAATTCTGGAACCACTCTATGGTTGGAACACAAATAGAAAAGTACACAGTCCGATTTCATGAACTAGCAAAGCTAGTACCTCACATGGTTACTCATGAGGAGAAACGGATAGATCGTTACATCTGGGGTCTGGCACCAGAGATTCGAGGAATGGTTACCTCAGCAAACCCAACTACCATTCAAAGTGCAGTAAGTCTAGCAAATCGACTAACCAATGATGTGATAAGGATGGGAGCATCGACAAAGGAAAGCTCTAGTAGCAAGAAGAAGCCAGCAGATCAGGGAGAGAAGAAGTATGGAGGCAAGTCAGGGAGGAAGCAGAAAGTCTCAAGAAACTTTATGGTAAGAGCCTAGGAGCAAGAACCAGTGAAAACTGAAGAACGGGAAGTGCAGGAGCGAAAGCAGTACTCAGGGCCGCTTCCGAAGTGAAATAAGTGTAACTTCCATCACAAGGGAGCTTGCCCAGTGTGCCAAAACTGTAGGAAAACAGGCCATTACTCGAAGTATTGTAAGGTGAATAAGGAGGGAAAAAGGGCATGTTATGAGTGCGGGAGTACTGATCATCTCCGTAGAGCATGTCCCAAACTGAACAATGGACCTGGTAACAATGGACAAGGCCAAGCCAGGCAAAACTTTCAAGGAAATCAAGTTGACGGCCAAGAGGTGTAGCCTTTGTGATTGGTGCAGAAGAAGCTCGTCAGAACCCTGA